TTCCTCCTGCACCTCCGCAGACCTCAGAAACATCGAAAACACCCTCAGAATATTTGTCCTGACGAAGGAGCCGGCCATGTGCGGTTGTAGGGGGGACGAAGCAGCGGCAGCTTCCTATGTGGGCCACGGAACGCGTGAGGGCTGCGCCGGCATGGGTACCACGCCGCCCTGTGGAGCCTGAACATCCCTACGAGGCCGCGAAACATGCGACGGTGCCGAAATCGGTGCGGCGCCGTCCGGACTCTGCCGCTAGTGCATTCGGCGGAGCTCCCTCTGGGGCCGCGCAACGTGTGAGGGGTGTACCGAGAAGGCGTGGCGCCGGCATGCGGACCCTGCGTTCGGTGGAACGTGCGAGGGGTGTGTCGGCGGCCGAAATGGGCGCGGCGCCGCCATGCAAAGTTTTCCCTTGCGGTGTTCGGCGGAGTTCCTGTGGGGCCACGAAGCTGGCATAAATGCGGCGCCGCCACGCGGACGTTTCCACAGGGGCGTTCAGCGGAGCGCCTCAGGGACCACGAAACGTGTGATGGGTGTGCCGAAGTGGGCGCGGCGCCGCCATGAGTACTTTGCCACTGGGGTCTTCGCTGGAGCTCCCTTCGGAGCCACGAAGCGCGTGACGGGTGCGCCGACATGGATGGATACGCGCGGAGCAGAGGCAGGGATGGCATGCGAGAGGAGGAAGGAGGAGGAAGGAGAAGTGAGACGCGAGGTGCCGCGGATTCAAAGCGAGGATCCAACTCAACGCAGGATGGTAGGAAACAACTTCGAAAGTCGCAAACACACCCCTATTACGCCTCCCTGCCGCGAACTCCTTCCTCCGTCCCCTTTTCTACCTCTCCCTCTTCCTGCTGGGACTGTGCACCCCCCTCCTCTGGTACGCGTTCGTCGGCGTGCCGGAGAGCGTGAAGATCCCAGCGAAGTCAGAGGACAAGAAGTCGTTCATCCGAAAGAGGCTCCTGGGGCTGGTCGAGGCAATAAGGAAGAGGAGCAGAAATAGGAGGAGGAAGAGGAGGGCAAGGATGAGGAGAGGGAGGAGGAGGGGAACGGGGGAACACGAGGAGGTGAGAGTGAGTGGGTGGAGTATGATGGCCGCGTTGAGGATCATGAAGCCGAGGATGATGATGATGTTGACGATGATGATGCTGATGGTGATGATGATGCTGATCATGATGCTGATTATGATGATGCTGATGATGCTGGTGATGATGATGGTCGTGGTGGTGATGATGATGCTGGTGATGGTGGTGGTGATGCTGGTGCTGATAGATGGTGATGCTGATGATGCTGATGATGACGATGATGATGATGACGATGATGATGCTGCTGCAGATGATGATGATGATGATGATGATGATGATGATGATGATGATGATGATGACGATTATGATGACGATGACAGTGACGATGATGATGATGACGATGATGATGCTGCTGGTTATGAGGATGAAGACGATGATGCTGATGATGATGGTGTTGACAATGATGATGATGATGGCGATGATGGTGGTGATGATGATGATACTGCTCATGATTCTAATGAGGATAATGACGCTGATGCCGGTTATGATAATGAAGGGGATGATTATGCTGCTGTGGATGATGATGCTGATGATGCTGATGGTGGTGATGGTGGTGGTGATGGTGGTAATGGTAATGATGGTGATGTTGTTGTTGTTGATGATGTTGACGATGATTATGATTATGATGATGATGATGACGATGATGATGATGATGATGATGATGATGATGATGATGATAAGGATGATGATGATGATGATGATGATGATGATGATGATGACTATGATGATGATGATGATGATGATGATGATGATGATGATGATGATGATGCTGATGCTGATGATGATGATGATGATGGTGCTGTGGTGGTTGTGTTGGTCGGGATGGTGATGACGACGACGATGATGATACTTGTGATGATGCTGATTGTGATTATGATGATTATGATGATGATGATGATGATGATGATGATGATGATGATGATGATGATGATGATGATGATGACGATGACGCTGAATATGCTGATTATGGTGACGATGCTGCTGCTGCTGATGATGATGCTGATGCTGATACTGCTGACGATTATAATGATGGTGAGGAGGAGAAGAAAGAGGAGGAGGAGGAGGAGGAGGAGGAGGAGCAGGAGGAGCAGGAGAAGGAGGAGGACTATTGGTTTGAAGATTGAGAGCAGGAGGAGGAGGAGGAGGAGGAGGAGGAGGAGGAGGAGGAGGAGGAGGAGGAGGAGAAGAAGGGTGTGCAGCAAGAGTCGGAGGGATCGGTGGAATACAGTGATGACGAGGATGATAAGGGGATGCTGCTGATTTGGAAGGTATATTTGTGGTGATGGTGATGGTGGTGGTCCAGCTGCCTCAGGGGAGTCCACTCGGCGAGCGATCTTCTTCAACCCAGCAGCGGCACCCATGCCCTGTACTGACAGAATGTGCACAGCCACTCGAGGCGTTCACCGCTGCCGATGTGTAGCGATTCGGCTTCGGCGCGCTGACACGCACACGCGGGGGAGGCGGAGGAAGAAGTTGTGGCGCCCAACACGCTGCCCAGTCTTCTTCAGACGGTTGGTGACGTAGGGCGCAGCTTCATTGGTCTGCTTCACGGCTTGCTGCTGTACCCGTCATGTTCCTTGCGCCGACGTTTTGCGCGTCGCTCTGCGTCGTCCTCCCCCCCGAGAAGACCACCACAGCGCTGCACCCCGTCGACCTGCGTTGCGTCCTCGTCCGCCGAGGCGGCGGCGCCCCGCCCGCAGCCCTCCGCCTCTGCGCGCGCCACCACCCTGGGCCCGAGGCGAGTGGGGCGAAGAGGCGGGAGCTGGAGCCGAGAGGACCTTGATTGCCAGGCTGGGGACGAAGCCGTGGGGCAAGCGCCGCCCGTGCCTCGCTGCCTGCCGCCGGCCCGCGGGCTCCGACGCCGACGAGCCCGCCTCTGACACTCCGCCAGGCCGGGCGCAGCGAAGGCCGCCAGACCCTCGGGGCCGCCCTGGGCGCGTCTCCGCCGGGCTCGCCGCGCCACACGTCGTCGAGTTGCTCGCCGCTTGACTCGACGTGCCGCCACCGCCACCGCCACCGCCACCGCCGCACGGGGCTGCATGAGGCACCTGGGCGCTCCGAGTGCCCGAGCGCCTCCTTCCTGCCGCCGCCGCTGTCGGCGCCGCCACGGGCGCCGCCGAAGAGGTCGCCCGCTCTCGCCCTCGAACTTGGGCCGTCGAGCAGCTGGCAGACTGCCACTACAGTATGTGGGCCTGGCCGATCGCGTGAAATCCACAGCGCCCCCAGCCCTGGGCGAGCGGGCAACTGTAGAAGGCCCCTGACCCTGCGCTGGCGGTGAGGAAGAGTGTTGGCCACTCGGGAGAAGCGGTGGCCCCACCCGCCCGCCTCTCGCCACCGCGCGCCGCGCGCTGCCGCCGCTTCGACCGCGGCGCCGCTCACTGTCCGAGGGGGTGCTCCTGGGGAACCACCTCGTCCGCGTCTCGGGCCGGACGAAAGGGGGGGATTGGGAAAGGGGGGGTTACGAAATTTGCTGCATGCAGCTGGGTCCGGCCTCACCGAGGGGCCCATTCCTCGATACATAAGCCGCGGGAGGCGCCGGGAAAATCAGCTACGTGAGCTGGTTCCCACCCCACCCCTTTGCTACCCCCGCCCTTTCGCCCGACCCGAGCGTCGCCGACGCGCTCAGCCTTGCACCCCTGCCTCCACAGAGGCGCGGCCGCCCCCGCACGGCCTGCCGCCTCCAGGGGCCTCTGCGCGCCGCCGACTCCTCCCTCCTCCCTCCTCCCTCCTCCCTCCTCCCTCCTCCCTCCTCCCTCCTCCCTCCTCCCTCCTCCCTCCTCCCTCCTCCTCTTCCTCCTCCTCCTCGCCTGCTGGCGGGCCACATGCTGCCCGGCCCGCTGGGCGGCCGCGGCGGGCCGCCGCCACCGCTGCCGAGCCACAGTGCTGCAGCACCGCCGCGCATCGAGCGCACGGTCGAGCCCGATCGGCAGACCGCGGTCACTCGGTTACGCGCCCTGTGCGAGGCTGCTTGAGCCAGAGCGGCCATCGACGACGAGGACGACGACGACGTGGACGACGACAAAGAGGAGGAGGAGGAGGATGAGGAGGATGTTGTTGATGATGAGGAGGATGGTGGTGATGATAATTATGATGGTTACGATGATGATGATGCTGATGATGCTGACGATGATGGTGATGGTGATGATTATGCTGATGATGACGATGCTAATGATGATGCCGATCATGATGCTGATGATAATGATGGTGGTGATGTTGATGGTGATGATGATAGTGATGATGGCAACGTCGATGATGATGATGAGGATGATGATGCTGATGATGCCGATGATGATGGTGATGCTGGCGATGATGATGCGTACGATTATGATGATCATGTTGATGCTGTTGTTTACGTTGATGATGCTGCTAATGACGATGACGAAACTGATGCTGATGATGTTGCTGCTGATGATGATATTTATCATGAGGGTGACGGTTCATTGGATGGTGATTCTGATGATGATGTTGTTTAGAATGATGAGGTTGTTTAGGATGATGATGCTGATGACAAGCGTAATGGTGATGCTGATGATGCTGAGGGGGTTGACACAAATGATGCTGCTGATGATGATGAAGAAGCTGATAATGATGTTGATGATGATGGCGCTGATGTCGATGATGCTAATGATGATGCTGCTGATGACGATTCTGATGATGGTGGTGGTCGTGATGGTGATGGTGATGGCGATGATACCGATGGCGATGATGCCTATGGTGTTGACTATGCTGGTGATGATATTGTTGTTGTTCAG